CGGCGGAAAACGAGAATATTAGGCAGGGGAGCGGAACCTTCAGCACTGAATTATATGATATTACATATAACACATTCGAAAAATTTGTTAAAATTTGAAAACGGATTATATAGTCTTAATTTATACATACATACATACTACTTTTTTGTAATAAAACCATTGAGTTGTTTATTGTTTTATTTTGAGATTTACTATGAATCATTCAACAATGAATCAAATCTAGTAATATTAAAGAAATGTACAAATAAATTGGTTTTCTATTTTATTTTCATACATTTTAAAAATATATCAGATTATTAAAATTTCAATTATTTACAATATTTAAATGAACAATACGTTAAAAAAAATTTATTCTCTAAATTATGTATTTAGTCGACTTATGTAATACTTTTTCTAAAGATTTTAAACCGTCTAATTTTATTTAATTGATATTAAGTAGAAATAGGCATGGATTCTGTAAAATCTAAAAATATTCTAATTTATCCAAATTCTGTAATAAGATTGTACATATTTTCAATTGTACAAACAGTTTAGAATATCTAGTCTTTTGGGCTAATTTTAGACAATTTAAGTAATTTTAGACCAAATTTGGACAATTTAAGTTATTTTGAAGATTGAGAATAATTATATTCTAAATATTGTCAATCTACTTAAACTCACTAAACTTACTTTAGTTGTCTAAATTTTGTCCAAAATTATTTAAATTGTCCAAATTCTTATAATTTTTAAATTTATGCTAATTTAAAATTATATTTCTTGTAAATGGTCTATATTATGAAAACTTTCTTATTTTTTTATTTTTTCTATTTTTCTAAATTTAACATTAAAACGATGTAAATTTCCAAATTGTCCAAATTGCCTAATTTTTTTTAAGTTTTCTGAATAAAAAAAAATTAAAAAAACTTTCTAGAAAATTATCTAGATTCAAAGATCCCCAATTTTCAAAATTTTGTAAACTCCTAAAATTTCATATAAAATTGTGCACTTACTAAATTGTTTACAATCTGAATTTTCAGCATTCTCAATTATTACTAAATTATCTATATTATAATAAAATAATTTCTAAATTGTTTAAATAAAACGAATCCTAAATTTTTCAAACCTAAGTACATTTGCAAAATTAACCGACTAATTTTTCTAAATTCTGTGATTCACGATTTTCACAAAAATATTGAATATTTTAGTTCTAATATTTTAGATAGTTAAAAATTTTTACAATATTAATAAACATTTTAACAATATCTATACTAAAAAATCTCAAACCAAAGCAATTTTTTTTTTTAAATTATTAAAAGTTGTATCGAATTTCTGACATCAGGTTTTGTGGTAATATTGAAGCATTACCGTAGTCATAGTACGCATGTTGTAAAATTATTATTAAATGATTGAAAAACAAAATTTAAAAAAATATAAATTTATACCACAAAATTCAGCAAATGTTTTTTGGATGTTCAATCAATTGTGATTTATTCTTGCAACCTTACCATACCTGATCGCCATGATTCCTAGTAAATTTATCATCAAAATAAAAAAGTTCTCCAACCCCTGTCTCAACCAGTTATTATTCTTTACATAGATCTTCAATGTCCCGAGTAAGTATTGAAAATAAGTTATAAGCACGTATTAAAAACATTTCTTTTTGCTTTTCAAAGGACTGCGTAATCTCGCGCGTGTCAAGTGCATTTTTCTTCGCCCGAGGACATAAAAGTTTCTATAATCAGCATAAATTATGCACACGTAGATAGATATGCTGTATGAAAATATTAGGATTAGTTGAGATTATGTCAATCTTGTATTGGAGATATAATTCTGATATGATTTTTTAATAAATTAATGGAACTTCTTGGGGCGCTTTGGAAATCATTACTGTATTGGAGATCATCACGGTAAGGACATAAAACTTACAAAATTCTCTGTTTTGTAATTAAAGAAAATTATATAGCAGACAATTTATTCTAACCCATATTTCATATAGATACTGCATATTTTATAAAAACAATTTAATCATCATTAATAATATAGTGTCAATGGTGTGAGAAGTCCACTTTTGATTTGCACATTTTGCCTAGCCTTTTTTATATCATATTTACATCTAAAATTTCTCGTTTGATGTTTCTGTGTCTTATGCTTCAGATTTTAATTTTGTGTATTTATTACCAAGAATTCGATACTTTGCAAAAATCTTACACAAAATTTCAAGGCTCTTATCACTACAGCTGCCAATTTTTCCTAAGTTTGACAAATTTCTAAAATTAAACGACTTGTCGTAGAGTCATAATATTTTAGTATGTTCTTCAAGACCATGATCTGCATGATTATAAAATTTCATCAATGATTACAAATTACAAAGTAACGACTTGGAAAATCTTTTCCAAAAACTGATCAGGCTGACACCCAACTGAACCGTTTTTAAATTTTTGCAATTTTCCCCAAATTCTTGCAAAATAAATACATCCACCTTACATACTAATACATAAATATTTTTAAATTGATTTTGATTTATATTGACTAACAAAAAAATTACTTATAGTAATATATTACTATATGAGCTTATAAGCTTCTAGATAAAGTATGATACAATATATCTATTCCATCATTATTATTTTGTTCGTGTGTAGTTCAATTACTAATCTGTTACATAATATGATCGAAGGTGCTATATGTTTTGTAATATTACGAAGAAAGCATAAAAAATCTTAGAAAATCAACGATTCTCTCGCATTTTATTCACCTTCTACGTGCAATTACCTCGTGGGAAAGAGTAGTCGTTTCATACGAATACAGAAGTAAATTAGTACGAGAGACCATGACCAAAAAAATAATAATAATAAATTAGGATTTTGTTCTAATTTTTCATACTATAAATAGAATAAAAGTAGAACTATTTTAGATTAAGTTTTAATGCCTCTTATATGTCTTACTTTTTGAACAGATCATCACTTTATTTTTTGAAATATGAAATTAGGAACTAATGTTGGAATCAAAGTTAGAACAGACTCCAATATTATTATTAATTTGACATATAATTGATAAGAGTATATGCTGCTTACGAGAACTATAAGCTTTAAAATAAATTCTTTGAATTTTATTCAAAACATGCAAGAAATAAAAATTCTCTTAACTAAATACAAAAATGTAAATAAATTCTTGAAAATTATAAATCTCAATAAAAAGTTTTTAAATTTAATCATAAAGAAGAACAGCAAATGGCGCCAATTAGAAAGGATATATATTTAAGAGTGAAAGTCAAAGAATTCTAGAGCCTCTGCCCATGAAGTGATGCCTAACGGCGGTTTCCGTGAGGAAAATGGACAAGAGATTAGCGGAAGTTTTAGTTGGTATTGATTATAATGAGTCCAACATACCCAGACAAAAGACTTAGCTTGGCATGCATAAAATTATTTAAAAAAACTGGATTACAATGTTGAACAAATTTTCAAGAGTAATCACTTATTGTTCTTTGGAAAGAAGATGACCGAATGGTACCAACAAGAAAAAATGTATAATTTACAGTTGGATTTTCAAGAGCATTTGTAATTCTTTTATGTCGTTGCCTCTCGTACTAACGGTCATACATAAAATATGTGAGTTGCTTAATAGATTACGCAAAACTATATAAGCAGAACGTGTAATTATATAATAAGGCAGAACGCATCCTCTACAACTTTTATTTATTTATATTCATTCAGAATTATATATGTGCAAATATTTTATGATAAAATCAATATTATTTAACCATTAATATAAATCGCTGATGGAAATATTAAATGACCTGGAAACTGTAGTTTCTGTAGGCTTTTAACGTAGGTTTTACATAAAATATATTACATAGGTAAAAAGAGTTAACCTTTGATTTTAATAACCTAATTTATCACTAAACGTTCTGAAAAAAAATATTACTAAATGTTCTGAACTCTTTTCATGGACATTGCTCCAATAAGAATAATAAGAAAAATACATAAACAAATGTATTTCTACTTTAATATATGAAAACAAAACAACCAAAAATATACAGAGTTTTAAATATGAAAATTGTGTTAGTGGCTTATCATAACAGGGGTAAATGTAAACCGTCGTTATGTAAAATGTAAACCGTCGTTATATAAAATGTAAACCTTCATTATATAAAATGTAAACCGTCCTCCATAATATTGTAATGGCTACTGTCCCGCAAGTAGACGCGGTAAACAGAAGTGTGCAGGTGCGTCATTTTTGTAGAGGCAATATAAAATTAATTGTACTAACACAGAAGTACGATTCTAATATATTTATTTGTATTTTTTGATACTAAAGATATCATTGTCATTTTTTATCGTTACAACTTGTCCCGCTAGATGTTACACAAACGCCAAATACGGGGTAAGTTGTAACAACGGACTTTTTCTAGAATATGCATAATTGTGAAAGAATGAACAATAGTTATGGAATTATTTTTACTTGATTTCGTCAAGACATTATCTATCCATCTTTATTTCGTAAAAATATAATAATTGGACCTCAGGATATATTTTTTTGAAAAAAGCTTCTCTACTTTGTAAAATAAATGATAGGTTATTCTTAAGATTTTAAATTTATTGCGACCCAAATTACTAAAGTAATGATATTAAAATTTTTATGAAAAATCTAGAGTTTCAGAAAACGTAGCACGAAGTCATAAATTATTAGTTTTTGTTTTTCAGACAATCAAATTTAGTAAGGAAGCAATCTCTCGTAGAAAATTGATAAATTTTATGATTTATGATATTCTCTAGGAGTAATAATAGCATAGTCGTACTCATCTCTAAGTAACACGATGATTACATAGTGTACAGAATAACGCGGAAATTACCAGCAATTTTAATTAATTATTCTTTTAATGAACACTATGGTGTACTTAGAAATGCCATCAAATAGCGAACCAAGAAACTATTCATATCACCATTTTACTTAATAATAATTGTTATAAAATTGTACAACTTTTGTACTTGTACTTGTTTCTAATATATTTTTTTGTATTTTAGATGGAGCCAATGTACGGATTCCACGAGGATAATAGAACTTAGGTGGCTTCACAAATTACTAAAGGACAGGACATTGAAAGGTTTACCTGGTAAAGGTGAGTTTAAATTAATTATTGATTGTCTAAATGTATTTGAAAACATTTGTATCACAGTTGGCCTTCAATTCTTGATTTTTTTATTCAAAATCTGGTTTTATAAAATTTACCATAAAAATCACTGTTTTCACATGGCTTTTGTTAATACCTATGAACTTAACAAGGTATATAATTTATTTCCTTAGTTATTAAAACGTCGGAGAAGAAAACATCATAATATATATTTATCACGTCACAACATACTCGAATTGGCATATCCTACAATTATAAAATTAATCTTGAAGAGCTTTTTGTTGTAAATGATAAAGAACTGAACTCGAAATGATAAAATTTAGTAAAAGGTAATTTAATAAGAAAAAATCACAAGGGATCGGAATTTCTTTACATCTATAAATTTAAATGAGTTCTTTATATATTATAAAGATTTTCAAATATTTTTTGAACAATTATTAATACACATTTGAAAAGAAATGTAAAAAAACATAGTCTAAATTAAATAGGCTACGACTTCCGGTACCAAAATTATCCTTGAACAACTCGGTGTGCCATTCTATCAGAAATCTCTACAATAAGTCTTAAGAACCTATAAAATTATAAGAATAATACAAAATAAATTAAAAGTCATTCCCACACCAATAAATTACAAAAATTTTAAATCAACAATTTTATTGTAGTTTGAAATTTTATTACTCTTAATGACGATTGTGAAGGAAAACTGAAATGTGACTGTAAGAAATAGTTGATTACTGTTAGATTCAGGTAATTACCTATTTTGGTTCATTAGACGATATTTCTTTGGTTATGTAAGAAGTAAAATAAAATTGCCTCGAAGGTAGGAACTTTGTTGCACAAAGGCAATATTGACTTTCCAATAACATTCTGCAAATTCTTTGATGGTGATGTTGATGGCTAAATAAGTGATCGAATTAAAACAGTAAAGTGCACTTTTTTATTAATCAAAAAAGCTGGTTGGAAAAAATAGACATAATTTTGTTCATCTTTCTCTGAAATTTTGAAATCATTAAATTCATTTTATCCATTCATTTCAATGCATAAGATTATTTCACAAATTCTCTGATGGTCATATTGGTGACTACAGAATAGATTAAAACAGTGAATTATACTATAAGATAATTATAATTAATTACATATTCTAATATGAGCAAACCTCTCATTATTTCACTTTCGATTTTCATATGTGATTCTAATTAGCATATTCTTACCATTATATTATTTAATTACATAGAAAATATCTTTGAAACAATGTAAGGTTGGATCATAATTAAAATCTATACTGGAAAGATTTTTAAGAAAAACTATGCAATAAGGTAGATATTTATTGTAAATTGCCTAAAACATTTTTGGACTAAAATATTTGTATTTTATGTACATGATTTATCAATATGCACTTCTAAAAGACTTATATTTTTTAGCTTAAATTTTATCTTTCTACCAATTGTGCAAATATATGTTCCATTTACGTAAATCGTGTTCAAATTTGCAGAGCTGCCAAATTAATTCTTTTTGCAGCATGTGATATCAACATCTGCGTAAATATTATATTAACAATGGTCATGCAAATTTTATATCAGTATAAGAATTATTTTTATAGCGAATTTGGCTGATAAGAAAATTTTCGTACTAATTTTAGAACAGCTGTGTGTGTTCAAGAAGTTTACAGAGTAAACATTGGAAGGATCAAATTTGAAGTTCAAATATTATTTTATTTTATGGCTATATGAATTTTGTAACTTCTATTTTAACAACCAGTATTAATTTTGCTGCCGTTAGGAAATTCATTCTTGGATGATATAGATTTCTATTTGTTTCGATAAGATTTTTAGTCTATTCGATTAAGTTTCCACTTGATTCAAATTGACTGTAATATAATAGATCTTTTTGGTAGCCGTGAACTTAATTCGAATGGATTTAACTTGATTCGACTTACATTTGACCTTTGATTGGTATGGGGTAAGTTAGCAAAGGTTTTCACAAGATTAGATTTTGGTCAGTTGATTAGAATGGATTTTCACTCGATTTAAATTGGTTTCTATTAAACATAATTCAGCGAGCTTTTGGTTTGGATTCGATTTATAATATTCATATCTGTTTTTGCATTTGAATAGATCTTTAGTTGATTCAGCTTGATTTTTATAAGACTCTCAAGATTAGATTTTATTTATTAAATAATGCTTCAAATCGATTCTAATTTTCATGGAACTGGAATAGGGTGACCATCAGACTTCCATTGATCTACAAAATTCTGATCTTATGGGGTAATTTTCTTCCTATAGGATAAGTTAGCAGTGGGCCAAAAATCGAAAATCAAAATTTTTGCATATCTTCACGTTTCAGAGGTTTCTGAACATTTTGGCATACCTCAGAAAAAATGGATGTATGTGTGTGTGTATGTGTGGAGACAATTTTTTGTCGACGATTTCGGGCGTATGGATGATTCGATTTGCAAAATTCAAAAAGCTATCGATTCCTGTTGAATGGGGTATGTGCTTATTAGTTTTTGGCAAAGGCACGTTCAGCGGCTTCGGAAATATGGAGCAAAAAGTGCTAAAAATGACAGTTTTTAAGAGAACAGATCGACCAATTCAAAAAACATTCGATTCGCAAAGTGGTGATTAGATTTTGGCAAAAACAGGTGCAGCCGTTTCGGAGATACAGAGCTAAATGTGCAAAAAATGGCAGTTTTTGAGAGTACTAAGCATTCGATTTGAATGATTTAAAAAACTTTCTGCTTGTGTTAACGGAACGATTGCTTTTGGGTAAAGAATTTTTTATAATTTTTTTTTTAATTTAAAAAAAATCATATTTTATCTATCTACCTATTTGAAAGCATTTAATATTCCTCGAAAATTTCATTATGGTACGGGAAGTTCCAGCAATTTGCCTTAAGGCACAATGCCATTACCACTAGTTGAAATCATTGCTCAGATGAGTAAAATTTTTATAGTTATTTAATAAATATTTAAATTGTGCAAAAACACAATCAATACAATTATCTTAAAACCTTGGAATAAAATTACCATTAAATGTATATTAGCACTTCCTAAAAATTATATAAACTCTAAATTACCATTTAACACTCTTTGTGTTGAATCACTTAATCAACAAGTTAATTAATTAGATCTTATTTAAGATTGTGAGATTTTATATACTCTAAAAATAAATAACATAATCGATATTATATAAGCCGAAACTAACGAGTATAATTATTATTAGTCGTTGTAAACCTAAATTTTGTGGTATGTGATTCGAATATATTATTTAGAACTGGGTGTTCCCAACCTTTTTTCTAAAAAAGAGTTATAGACAGTGATAATTAATTTGACTGTTTAATAGTTAAACAATAGTTCTAATCATATCTGAAATATTAATCTCATTAAGTTAGTATTGGACTGTATTTTAAATTTAATTTATAAATTTGGAATATGGAATAATGTCTTCTATACCGCGGTCTTCAGTTTTTCAGTTGGTTCCTAAAATGTTACTAAACCTCTGAGCTTTACTGTATTTTCGCAAAATACAATTATATATAATTTCGCATAATATTTATAAAAATCATAATCTAATACATATTTTATGTAAATATAACTTTAAAGATTGCCTTATACCATGACGACTGCTTTTGGAGTTGTGGAATTCAACCAAGCGCAAAACAAGAACATGAATTTTTTCTTATATATATATATATATGTATATATATGTACATATTATATAAAACATATCATTTATGCTATTATTTTAATTGGTAAGAATTAACTTAATTATATGTGGTCTGTCGGACGAACGGACAGAAAACGAGCAACGATGCTTTGACAGAAATAGTTTTATTGTCAGCAACTAGTTATTCTTGCAAATCATTAAAGTTTAGGTTGAAGAACTTCTGATATTTATAATTTTCATTCCATACAATTTTTCAATACTTTTTTGACCAATTTTTTTATTTTTCGGTAACCTCAAAATGCTAAGCAAATCGTACTAAACTTATTATATATAATACACTGTCTTAAAATGCTGATTTGTCAATTCGAATCATCATAATAGATTTTAGTTTTAACCATTAGTCATTTAATTCGAATCGCTCATCATTTGATTCGACTCTATTTTGATTTGATACGAATCTAACATCATTTGATTTGTACGATTTTCACTAAATCGAATTTAACTTCACATGAATCGATTTGCACTTGATTTGAATCGATTTTCATTTTTTTATAATTGATTTCGGCTCAATTTCAATAGATTTTTATTCAAATCGATTTTTATTTAATTAAAATGGATTCTCACTCTCAATGAATTAATTCCTTAACTTTAATAAATTTTTTTTTAATCTGTTCAAATTTGATTTAATGTTGGCTTTTACCTAATTGGATTTCATTTAATTTGAATTGTACGATTTTTATTAAATCCAATTCAACTTTGTTTGGATCGATTTTTGCTTGATTTGAATCGATTTTTACTTGCTTATAATTGATTTCAGTATAATTATAATGAATATCACTTGGTTTGGATAGATTTTTATTTGATTGTCACTCTCAATTAATAAATTATTTACTTGATTCTTTTTATATTTATTTTTTCAATTTTCGCTTTGACTTGAATTGATTTAACTTCACTTGATTTGTACGATTTCGAATCGATTTTCATTTGATTGGAATCAATTCTAAATAATGATTTGATTGGAATCGATTTTTATTTGATTGGAATCGATTCTCACTTATTTTTAACCGATTCAATTTTTATTCAATATTGGTTTTTATTTCAGTTGATTTGATTTTTGTATAAATTTTCTTGAAGATATTTAGGCTTCTTGTTTCATATTTCATATAATCAAATCAAATTTCATCCTATAGAAATAATAATGTTTTATTCTATTCTTGATAAACTAATTTTTTTACTTGGTTCTGAACGATTTTTACATAGTTCAAATTAACGATATGAGTTTAGATTCAAATCTGTCTTTAACGAGTCCATTTTTTTCAGTT